TTTTTGTTCACTAGATCCGGGATCATTTTTGTCTTTTAATCGTTTTGTTTTTATTGTTTTTGCCCCTTCTCTTTTTTTTTTATAATGTCAAAGGGGGAGAACATACTGTTGAATTTGTATCTTTTTTTTTTTATTTGTGTATTTTTTCTTTCAAAAATTAAAAACAACAAAAAATTTTTGATCCCCCCTATTTTTAAAAATTTTATTTTAATGAGGGGGGGATTAGGAGAAAATATTTTCCTTTTTGCAAATTTAAATAGTAATATTTGCCATCATCATAAAGGGGAAGATTATTGAGGATCTGTTTTCATGGTTTATGATTTTGATGATAGCAAACGCTCTTATTTCTCTACGACTGCCTTATCTACTGATATTTCAGGTTCACAAGATGAGACTGCAATTTGGAACCAGTTCAAGATTGGGCAGATTAGCACTGAGTCAGTTTGTACCATTTTTCCTTTCTTGAATCTTTTGTAATTGTGGCTCTTGATGCTAAGTAACTTTGCACGCACACACCTTGGAAGAATTTTTTACTGTTCCCTAGAGTTTACTATTTTTGGTAATATCATCCGGGATGATATTTATATAGGCCTCGACGATCGGTTCAAAAATAGAAACCCTAATTAGGGCATCATCCTTGTTAAGGCAGCCATCATTAAACATATCGTCCTAGATGATTTTGTATCAACTAGGATGATTGGCTCAAACCAGAAAGAATCTGTCGCCAGATCTATTTATGAATTACTTATTTTGGACATCATCCTGGTGGATCAGCCTAGCCTATCAGGATCGGCCCGGCCGATCCAGCATAATTTTTCTTAAATAAATCTGGCAATTAAGGAAAGCAATTAATGGTGATTTGCATAATCACATCATCCAGGCCGATCGCAAGATCGTCCGAGCCGATTTGACTTAGGCCAACTTCTTTTCAGGGCGATGTTCAGGACGATTTTCTTCATATTTAAATTAATCGTCCAAGACGATATCCTATCGGCCTGGACGATATGATCAAAAATTGTCTAATCGTCCCAAACCGGCCGGACTGATTGAGCATAATTTACGCTGATCGACTAGGCCGATATTTATATCGGCCTGGATGATAAAGTCAGCAAGTTGCATTAATGAGCTCATTTTGAGATCTTTTATTTAAGCTTTTGATAAGACACTTTGTAAGTGTCTTTTGACAGCATTATAGCTTCGTTCTTTTGGGGGGAACTTGAAGAGAAAGCTTGAAAGAGAGTGAGGAACGGGTGAAGTCAGAGACGAAGAAGATCCTGTGAGGGGGGACTCAAGGGAGTGTGGAGGGGGATTCCACACGGTTGCTCTGGCAGGCTTGCACTTTAATACCGTTGGATTCAAGACTTGTCTTGAGGGAAGTTCACCAAAGAAAAAGATCTCTTTGGTGTCAAAGGACCCGGCGACTCCGCCGCACCGGGGAAGGTAGAAGTGATTTTGTAAGGGCTTCTTCGCCTAGCTATGGGGGCTAAAGGAGAGACACTTAGTTTAGTGAAATACTTGGAGGGTGCCTCTAAGGAGTGGACGTAGGTCAAGGTTTGACTAAACCACTATAAATCTGGTGTGTTCTTTCCTATATTACTTCCGCATTTTAATTTCTGCACTTTGATTTTTATTGGGGTGAATCTTGATCTTGATTTAAGATTGTGTTTGTGTTAAATATCGATTCACCTCTTTCTCTTAATTAGCCTTAGGTCAGTTCATAGGGCCTAACATCTCTAATGAACTTTCTAGTGCCATCAGAGCACTTTCAGTCATTTTATTGAATGAAGTAGAAAAGAACTTTGCATAACTTAATGCTAAATGCCTAAATTATTTTTTATGTGCACTTAAGTATAAAATATTACATGATGTACCACTAGCAAGGATATTTGGGATAGACTATGCATTACATACGAAGATACACTAGTGAAGTTAAACAATCTAGGTTGAATATCTTATTGCATGATTATGAACTTTTTTGTATGAAATCTAATGAGATTATCTCAGATATGTATATTAGGTTTACTCAGATAGTGACATCATTACATACTTTAGGTAGAGAACTTTTAAACTTTGAGAAGGTCAACAATATTCTACGTTGTTTACGTGATAATTTTAATGCCAAAGTTATTGATATATGTGATTCAAAATACTTGAATGTTTATTCCATTAATAATTTGCTTTGCTCACTCATTGCCTCCGAGCAAATTGTGAGTCAAAGACTTTTGAATGCAGACGATAAGATAATAGAGAAGACTATATTGATAAAAGCCAAAGACACATATAAAAATGGCTTAGGAGATAGGAGTGAGGAGATTGCATTAATAATAAGCTAATTCAAAAGCTTCATAAAGCGCAAGCACAAGCATCAACTAAATTGGAGCAAATGTAAAAATGATATATTTTCTTCTGTTATTAGTTGCTTTGCGTGTAGGAAACTTGGACATCTAAAATTTTAATTCCCCAATTTTAAGAACCACCTTGTGAAGGAAATAAATCAAATGTAAAAAAGGGAAAAATGAAAAGAAGTAAAAATCTCCTTGATAGACTTAGCCTTTGACTCATCAAAACAGGAGGTAACGAACCTATGCTTAATGGCTAAGCATTCAATTGTTAACTATGATCAGGTATAAGTATGTTAAGGTTTGTTTGTGTCTTTGTTTATCTATTTTATGTATTTTTTATAATAGTTATGTTTCATGCAAGATTATATATTGTAGTTTCTTTTCGTATGCTTTCATTTTTTATCCTTCTGTGTTGTGTGTTTTAGTTGTTTTCTTTCCCTTCTATAAAATTTTCTTATTTCATGCATGTAGTTCACTTTATGTGTTATATTATCTCTCCTTTCGGTGATGTCAAAAGGGAGAATATATATATAGTTGTATTTGTTCATCTGTTATTTAGTTTTAAATTTACTTTCATAAATTTAAAATAAATAAATAAATATTTTCCCCTATTTTTTTTAATATAAATCTCTTAGAGAACAAAAGATTATGAGAAAATATTATCAGTTTATAAATACAACCACTAATGTTTGCTATCATAAAAAAATGGAGATTGTTGCAACTCGGGTTCCTGAGTTTATATTTTTGAAGATAATAAATATTAATGATTATCTCTTTATTTCTCTTAGCATTTTTCGTGCACATTTTATTTGTGAGTACTAATATTTTAGGTACATCATGAACCATTCAATGAAGATTTAGGCTCAAGATTGGGGTAGAATAGGGTGTTTTGAAAGAGTATGTAATATACATTTATTTATTTTTTATTTCTTGAGTCAATTCTTTTAAGGGTATATGCTAGCGTGGCGACCATACAAATATACACTTAGGGGAGTGAGATAGTGAGAAAATTAGAAGTGTACTTTTTTGAACTAATCATATTGTACGATACATATTGTATTATATGATTAGCTATTCAAAAAATTATTATAACAGCTAATTAGCATGATTATTTCTATTTAAACTTATCATAATATATGATTAAGATCATTCAGGATGATAAGTTGAAATCAAGATCACAATCGCCAATCATTATTTAGGCAATATTTTAAATTCAAAATTTGTACTAATAGTACCATATGATAGGCATCATATTGTATGGTATAATAAAATCTTGCCTAAATTAATCTTATAATTAGGGGATTAAATTTGGATTGATTGATCCAATCATATTGTACTAAATGATTGGACCAATCGTATTGTATGACTCGATCTTTGCAATGGAAAGTAACTATTTGCCACCAATCGTACATGATGATAATCTAATTCAATTGAACTAATCATATTAGATTATGCTTTATATCGTACTAGACGATAAGCTCAAATACTTGAATTGATCGCAGAGAGGCTTATTCTTCATACAATACTAATAGAGCTATTTGAACTAATCGTACTGCACGATATGGAACCATAATGTACGATCAATGTCAACTAAATTAAATTTTAAGGCTTTTTAAGCTCTTTATTTAAGCTTTCTCATAAGACTTTGTAAGAGCCTTTTTGATATTCATTAAATTGTTTTCTTTTTAGAAAGTTTAAAGAGAGAGCGTAGAGCTTCAGAGAGAAAGGGTGGAGTTTTTGAGAGAGGGAGAAGATACTAGTGGGTTTTAAGGCAGTGTATGATGTAGTTCCACATGGCTGCTTAGGCAAACTTGCACCTGAGTTCCTCCATGTGTCAAGATATTTCTTGAGGAAAGCTTTGGGAAGAAGACCTCTTTGGTGCCGAAGGGCTCGACCACTCCGCCGCACCAGGGAAAGTGATTTAAAGTTCTCTTCTTTCGCAAGAAGGGTGAAAAAGGAATGTGAGGTTCTTTGTCTTTACCAGGAGGGTGTAAAAGAAGTGCGAAGTTCTTTATCTTCATAAGGAGGATGAAAAAGAACCGCATCGAGTGAAATAGTATTTTAAAGCAAAAATTTCTTGAAAAAAAAAATGAAAATTTAGACGCCAAAAGCTATCCCAAATGAAACGAAAGTAAACTATGTTTGAATATTGTTATAATCATATTCAAATCTTCTTCAAACTTTATTTGAATCTTATCAAAATTTTATTCAAATCATATTTAATTATATTTTAATTTTATTTCCTCCTTATACTAATCATATTTTTCGTATTTGAATTCTCTCAAACATTGCTCTATATCCGGAGAAATTATTACGTGCCGAGTCAAAATTGTCCGGATTTGTGAGAATACACAACAAATACACAATTATTTTTATAAAATTGTATTTGCTACGCACCCTCACAAAATTCGAACACATCTTACGTCATCTTAGGTTTGGACTCAGCATTTAATAATCTCTCCTAGATGATTTTGAACAGGGGAATATCATTACACTATTCGAACATAAATATTTGGAGACGAGATAGATTTTAATTAAGCAATCCATCATTAAAAAAAAAGGAAAGAAAAAAAAAAAAAACATAAGCATTTTGATCCAAGCAAAACTTTAATTTACACACCGGCTACATCTTTCTCCAATTATATGGCCATGGCTTCTTCAAAAAATATAGGACCGATGGAGATACAGAGATGTCGAGTGAAATCACACTTAGCTGCTATCAGTCCAGCGGCCTGAGATAGTGAGATGTCAAGTGTGGTGGTCCTTGATAATGGCGGCGGTCTTATCAAGGCCGGCTTCGGAGGTGACCGCGACCCGGTCGCCGTCGTCCCCAACTGCCTCGGCCGCCCCACCTCATCCAAGAAATGGCTTGTTGCCGACCAACTTCTCGCCGCGGAGTCGGACATTACTTCCGTCTCCATCCGCCGACCCTTCGACCGCGGCTACCTCATCAATCCTGATTTGCAGAAGGAGATCTGGGATCGCGTAATCCGCACTCTTCTACGCGCCGATCCCTCAACTTCCTCGCTCCTTCTCGTTGAACCCCTGTTCAACCCCCCTTCCATCCAGCGCGCCACCGATGAGGTCGTCTTCGAGGACTTGGGTTTTCAATCTCTCTTCGTCGCCGACGCCCCTTCGCTTGTACACCTGTACGAGGCAAGCCGACGGCCGGTGGATGGGTTGGCAGCGATGGCGCAGTGCAGTTTGGTGGTTGATTGCGGCTTCTCGTTCACCCACGCCGCTCCTGTGGTGCAAAATTTCACCTTGAACTATGGTGTGAAGAGGCTAGACCTCGGAGGGAAGGCACTCACGAATTACCTCAAGGAGCTCGTTTCCTATCGTTCTATCAATCTTATGGATGAAACCCTGATCATAGATGACGCCAAGGAGAAGCTGTGCTTCGTATCTCTTGACGTCCTGAACGACCTCCAACTTGCCAGGTAAGAAGTTGATATGCTTTTTCTGTTCCGGATTACTATAGTATCTCAGCGTAAGGTTCTCATTTATTTTCTAATTTGTTTAGAGGAAATTATAAAATTGTGGCCTTTTGGCAACTGATCATTGAAAATTGCCCCGGCTGGGAAGATATTTGCATTAATTTGTTGGAAGGATTCACAATTGCATTATGCTTCTCTTTCTATTTCATGTTATAGCCATACAACCTCTGTGTTCATAGCTGGCTTATGTGACTATTTCCTGTTTAATCTTGTTAAGGAAACCAGGGAAGGACAATCCTTTCAGATGCACTTATGTTCTCCCCGATGGCATTACACATACAAGGGGTTTTGTTAAAGACATAGATGAAGCACAAAGGTTTCTCTCACTACCTGATGGATGCTCTACTACGCTAGGAATACCGGTAGTCGATAGTCAAGCAGATATAGAGAAAAGGGAGGATAGGAAGAGAATGGACATGAATAAAAGCGTAGGATCTAAACACGTTTAAGACAAAGAATGGGCATTTTTTGCTATTAGAAATGCTAACGCACTTCTCTTTGATGCAGGAATTCAACCTTACAAATGAACGTTTTCTTGTTCCTGAGATGATGTTCTGTCCAGCTGATTTGGGTTAGTCCTGATGACGAATTCTAAATAAATTTGGATGGGCTGTTGCAGAACATATGCACTGTAAATTTACTGGTTCAGTTATATTTTTTACTGTTATTTACTTACATACAAACTTGGACAAATGCAATCTGATGGTTGCTAGGTTATTTGAGAGTGTTTAGGGGGAGGGGGTGTGTAAATTTGCGCTGACTATATTTGTGGTCAGCCTATTTACAATTCAAAAACTTAAGTTTATGGATGAAGGTCAAATGCTTAATATTTTTATGCCAATATGTTTCTCATCTCTTCAATCCAATCTGACACAATTACCATATACAAATAGTCATCTTTAGAGCTTCACAAGCAACAACCTCGAGTTGGCTTCCTGCACCTGTCAATTTTGAGTCTTAAAGTTTGTTGCAAATGCTTCTAACGCAACAATATATACAAGGTATAACCCCGAATCTAGCTATTTTATAATTTGTATGCATGATATAAGTACCTGTGATCGCTTTTATTAGCGAGCAGGAAAATATAACTATTCGTGACAGCTTTTATTAGCGAGCGGGGAAATATAAGTATCGATCGTTTTTATTAGCTAGCGGGAAAATTCATATGGATGAATATAAATACTTGTGACTGCTTTTATTAACGAGCAAGAAAATTCATATGCATTAATATAAGTACTCGTGACCGCTTTTATTAACGAATGAGAAAATTCGTATGAATAAATATAAGTACACATGATTGCTTTCATTAATGAGTGAAAAAATTCGTATGCATAAAATAAGTATCCGTGACCGCTTTTATTAGCTAGCGGGGAAATTCGTATGTATATAAAAAAAAAACTAAGTACCCGTGACTATTTTTTTAGTAGGCAAGGAAATGTTATGCTTTATAAACAAGTACTTCAAGACTTGTAACCTTTTTTATTACCAAGCAAGGAATACAAAATTCGGCCGTGGTGTCACCTAACATCTACTGTGACTAAGCAACATACGAATATGTCATGCATACATACCAAATCACATGCAAGCGTGCCATGCACAAATGCTAAATGGTGTGTAAGTGCATCAGATATACACATTGAAATATATATAAGTATGTTATGTAAATGCATCAAATACCGTGCAAGCACATTATGTAATAAACAATTATACAAATGCATTATTTAGTATAGGTGCATTATGCAAATGTACCATACAAATGATTACGCATATCCTATAAATACATCAATCATCATGCAAATTTATTATGCTTATCACACAAATGCACTATGTGCCATTTATACATATGTGTCATGTCCAGCCTCACAATACATTTTGTTAATACTGCAAATGCATTATGCCAATCATGCAACAATTATATAACTACATAATGCATCATGCAAATCATATAAATATATTATTCACACTATGTAAATGCATTGTTCAAATCATGAAGCACGCAAATATGTAATTGTGCAAACATACATCAAATAATAATGCAAATGCACATAACAATGTGTAATTGAGCAAATGCACTCAAAAGCATGTTTTCGCATGGGCCCCGACGAGCGTGATATATGTATTCATATGATGTCTGAAGATGCTGCGAGAGTTAAAAGTGAACTTAAGTTTAAGTTCGATCCTTATCTTTGAATGGACTAGAACTGGCGCGACTTGAACCACTAAACAAATACATGGTCATAGCATCGAACAAATACATAGTCATAACACAAACCAAAGTATTTGATTTTATATGTTCATATTTGTCCTTCAAAGTCTATTACAAGAAATGTTTACTACCAAAATATAAACTCTCAAAATCGATCCTCATTAAAGTTAATTGAATTATTTAATTTTATTCATTCATATTAGGCCTTCAAAGTCTCTTACAAAGAAAATTTACATATTAAAATAAATACCCCCGATTATGATATTTTCACGTAATTCCAAAAATCAGGATTTGAACCCGATCATATGTTTGCAAGTAAGCAAAGTTGACAAGGTTCGACTAATGAAATGAAAATATCCACAAATCCTCGATGATGGCCGTGTTGACCAAAAATCTCGATCAAAGGGGATCTTTTTTTTCAAAGTACTCATAAACCCTGATGATGGTCGTGTTGAAAGCTGATCTCAACCAAAGGAGATTATACTTTTTAAATGCCCTCAAATATCAAAATCAATCATTAAGGGCTCCAATTTTAATGAATGTTCAAAACATTAAAAAAAAATTAAGCTATTTAAGATGAAATAAATTATCTAATAACTTAAAAGCAAAAATTCACCCGCTCTCTATAATAGTTTGCTAATGTGGATAAATTTGAAAATCACTTCAGCTCATAAAAAGTGAAGTCAAGTCGAGAAATCATTAGGATGCATTCTTAAATCATCTCTTGCTAGTAAGAGCGTAGCACATGTTATGTAACCAGCGATTTCACTACCAAATAGCACCACGGTAAACGATTATGGCCGGGGCCCTCTGACCTGGTGGTTTTGTCGCCAAATGGTACCATTAACTTAGCGTCATACGGTCATAGTAAGATCCTGTATGTTCCTCAATGACTCTAAATCCTTGAGTAATGAATCAATAAGATATAACTGATAGGGCACAAAGTCCTTTGTTAGCTAAGGCGAACTCAAATCTATCCCTTTAGATAAACATTCACCTCAAGTCTACAATGTACCCTTATACGAAGCAACCCATGATTGATGACAAGGATCCTTTGGTCAGGTTGGGTCGACTACCTCCTCTGACTAAGTAAACTAGGGATCTTTGGGTAGTATCTTATCTAACACCCAATTTGCCTTCTAAAAATTTACCACGAAACTTAAACTCGTTTTAACTTTCATCACTAATGAAAAAGAAACGGTCGCAGAGAGGTCGGGTTGCAAATTTTTGAAGCCCATATTAGTTTCTTATGATTCTATTTCCTAAATTTTAGGAAATAATTAAGCTAATTAGTTATTTCCTTTATTAAATATTTTTTTAGTATATATATGTAGATATATCAGTTTTTAACAAGAAGAATAATAAATTAAGAACTTCTTTATAGTACCAGAGCTAGTTCTCTGAGCCCTAATCCCTTCACTTTGCTTTTCTCTAGCATATTCTTTCTACCGTCTCTTCTCTTTTTCTTAAGGCCGATTCTTTCTAACCGATTCTCTCTAGTCAGTGTTCGTCCCAACCTTCTTCTATATTTCCAGCAACCTTATTCATACTTTCCCCTCATCTTCTTAATTGCATTATGGGATGACCTCATTTCAAACATCCGGCATCACGACACTAAAATTAGAAAGCAGTTCAAAAATTCTAAACCTTGGTGGTAGTGATTCTTCTCCTATTCTCATAACAAGACACATTAAATGACCACAATTATTTGCAGTGGTCACAATTTGTATTGTTGTTTATTTTTTGTAAGGGAAATTATGAGTATCTCATGGGAGCAACAACAATGCCAGAGTATAGATTTGAGTTTCAGAAAGTGGAAGATTGAAAATAGTATGATCGTATCACGACTTACCAATTTCATGAATAATGATATAGTTGAAAATTTTTTATTATTTGGGCTTGCAAAAGAAATATGGGATGCAGCTAAAGAGGCTTATGCAGCTCTAAAAATACTTCAGAGCTGTTTCAAGTTGAATCAGTACTTTATGACTTCCGCCAAGGGGGTAGTTTGTTACTCAGTATTACAACATACTTGCATGGTATTAACAATAACCTGATTTATTCAAAACTCACTCATGGACATATCTGGAAGATACAATAATGCACAAGCAGGTTATGGAACAATAAAAGGTTGTTCAAGGTTTTTTAGGACTTAACAAGGAGTTGGATGATGTTAGAGGTCAAACTACTGCCCAATCTTAGAGAAGCTTTCTCAAAGTTTAGGCGTGAACAAAGTAGAAAGAAAGTGACGATGGAATCTATAGAGGGATCTAAGGAACAACCCGCATAAACGTTGGATTTATTTGCTCTTACTTTTCTATCATCTAATAGTAATTGTGGAGATAGTAAAAAATGAGAATGGCCTTGGTGTGATTACTATAAGAAATCAGGTCATTACCATTAGACTTGCTGGAAGCTCTATGGAAAACCAATTGATTGGAAACCAAAGCCACTGGTTGATAGAAACAACAAAGCACATGTGGCTTCTACCTTTAAGAGTGCTCCTGTTCCCGAGCCTTGCTTGTTTAGCAAAAAGTAAATGGATTTGTTGTAGAAACTATTTAGTCAAGCTGGTAGTGGTAGCATTACTGGGGCAAGTTTAGTTGCTTAAGCAAATTCACATATTTCCTTCACTACTAACAAAGGAGAACTGAGGCCGTGGATAGTTGACACTAGTGCTTCTGATCACATGACAGGAGATCCTACCCTTCTCCAAAATTACAAGCTAAGTAGTGGTCACTTTTATGTCCATATTGGTGATGGTTGAAATTCTAAAATTACTTGAACAAGTTCCATCCAATTTACTAAAGAGTTGTATCTCAACTCTGCCCTACATGTTTTAAACATGGATTGTAATTTTTTGTTCATTAACAAATTAGCTCGTGACTTTCAATGTGCTATTAAATTTTATCCAAACATGTATATTTTTCAGGACTTAAAAGTGAGGAAGATGAATGAAAGTGCTGAATTGTGCTCTATCTCCTCCCATGTGAGAGATTCTCAAACCAAGCTTCTCAAGTTGCGTCCACTCTCAGAGTTTATTAGAATATTTCTATTATGTGTCTAATTTCAATGTCAATAAAAATAGTGAAATTATATTATGACACTATCGTCTTGGTCATCCTAGCTTTGTGTATATTGCAAAATTATTTCCTAAATTATTTTTCAATAAAACTCCAATATGTTTTCATTTTGAAACTTATCAGATTGCAAAATATACTGGAACAATATATCCTCAAATTCCATACAAACCTTCAACTGTCTTTTCTTTGATCCATAGTGATGTGTAGGGTCCCTAAAGATAAAAATGTTTCTACCACTCGTTGGTTGGTGATATTTGTTGATGATCAAACAACGATAATTTG